CTTACCAGTTATTCTGGTTTTATAACAGTGAAAGAAGAATATAATTCTAACCTCTTCTTCTGGTTTTTCCCTGCTGCCACAAATCTGTCAAAAACTCCGCTAATTATATGGTTGCAAGGTGGTCCTGGGTTTTCGTCTATGAAAGGATTGTTTGATATCATTGGACCTATAAAGGTGGAAAATGGAAAAGGTAAGAAAGTTTTTTACAAATATCTACAAATATCTTGCTTTGCTTGGTCAGTACATTATTATCTGAGAACATTTTGCATGCTACTTCGATTTTCTATGGAATGAGTACCTACCTAAATAATAAAAGTAGGCAGTAGCTAAAGTGCGTCATAAAATCAATCCATATTTTTGCCACAATAACTTACCATAATTCAACAATAGCTGACTCATGGTCACATTCAATATCCATAGAACAATATAAACCAGAGATCGCACGTCATTTTGCTTAGAGGCCTATTCAGGTGGAATAATTCTTGAATGGGGTTTGAAATGACAAACGAACGATCTCCTCCTCTATCGTGGACCGCATCATCGGTTACCACCAGGATAGTAGTTAGAAAAACTTATCTTCCTATGATATAAACAAAATGCTTAATGTACCATCAGTATAAGACGCGCTGCAAAGGTCCTAAAATTTTAATGTGCCGTTGTACAAAACACAACAGAAAATACATTGCATCTCGACTCAAGTCTTTCGCTTGCACGTGTCTCAACTCTTAAGTCAATGCTCATTCATCACACTAATTAAGTAGGTAATTTTACAAAAACGGCTATATTTTACTAGTAAAACAATACATAATTACAAAAATTTATAATTGTAAGAGTCTGCTGTTATGAAGCAGATAGTAATGGCGTGTGTGAATAATGTTCGTGGCTAATTGATTAACTGTTAGTTTTTACTTCGTAATGTGCAAGACAAATTCACACTGTCACGGATAACTATTTATGAGAAGTACTATCGTATGAGAAGAGAAGAAAAGTTTGATGTTTCTATAAGTTATTGCACCTTTCTTGCATCAATTGACTCCTCCCATTCTGGGTGAGGCTATCAGATTATTACTAACAACTACACCATTTAAACTCCTGCTTTAAGCCGGAGTTTTCTTTTTTATCTCGAAGCGAAAAATAGCACGTCTTTCTTTTTCTCCACCATGCCGCATAGCCTGAGCAAAGTCTTTAGCAAAACTACGTTTATTTAATAAAATGTCTATATAAATATCCACATTATTTCAGTGGTACGAAGAAACATATCATGGTCTGACTATTCCCTGCTGTTCCTCGACAACCCAGTTGGTGCTGGCTTCAGCTTTACTGATGACGAGGATGGATACACAGACAATGAGGATGATGTAAGTAAACCAGCAACTATATGAATTGCATTACATTCTACTACAACCCAATCCCCATTCCTCACATCAATTCAGAAGGTCAGCAAAACATTTGTAACGCTTGTATAGTTTGCCATAAGGTCATCAGACGGATGACCTGATGGCAATCGTAACGTAGCAACTCGTTTGCCGCCCTACCCCTTAAAAAACTTGTTTGTAAACCTAAATAGAAAACGATTTTCCGTTAAAAGAACCATGTCTTCGCTGATGACATGAATCTCAAAGTAGAACTTACAAAATAAACGCAAAAATAGAAAACCCCGCTCAAACTTGATTTTCTTCTATTCGTGTCTATGTCATTTCATTTATATCTTTTTATTTTTTCATTTAACCACATTCCATTATCATTTAAATATTCAGGAACTGGTTAATCTAGCTGTACCTAGGCTATACGTACGTACCTAAGTGTGAAATGTAGCATAAAGTCAGCATTCTAAGCGAATATTTTATCGATGTAAGGTCATCAAAATCTTTATCGATAAATGAAATGCAAATAAACCAGTTAAGGAGTATCGTAGGTATGCAGATACAAATAATATTTTACTGTAGTGCGCTGTGGAAAGGTCACGGTGCAGTGACCTTACACGCTAAGGTGAATTTCACATTATGCAAGAAAGTTTTGAATTTTTAATCAATGTTGTAATTAATTTAATGGCGATTTAAAAATTGCCGTTTTTAATTATGTAGAATTTTTGTTTAGGTAGGTACTTTTCTACTCACTACTATTGACACAACTTTATAAATATCTACAATTTATTTACTTAAATGATTTTTTTATTGCAGGTCGGTGAACAAATGCTTACATTCCTGAAGCAATTCCTGATGATGTTCCCAGAGATTAGATCAGCACCGTTGTTTGTGGTCGGCGAGTCTTACGCGGGGAAATATGTGCCAGCCCTCGGCATCCAGATCCATAGACATAATCAGAACAATCCCAAAGACCATATCAATATGAAGGTGGGTGTTAGCAGAAATTGCCTGGTCATCTAAATAAATAAGATATTTGTTTTTATGTTATGAGCATCCTAATTCTGGCTTTAATTTAGGGGTGTTATGATGAATACAACGCACATTGTAATGTCTGTGTATAGGTACTACCTATGGACTGTGGGTGTGGGTGTGAATACAAATACTTTTACATAATACACAATACACCCAAGCCCAGACCCATTTTCGGAATACCTATACGCAACACAAAGAGTTGTTCCTTACGAGATTCACATCGCATCATCGCAATATGCAGCAATCAGTTGTCCTGTCACTTCGTCAACCTGTTCATTCACAAAGCAGTACGTACGAGTAGATTTCATACATATGTACAATGTTTCAAAATGTTCCAGGGTATCGCAATCGGCAATGGTTTGATAGAACTCAGAGAGATGATGCACTACAGCACCCTGTGCAATGTGCTTGGCGTGCTCGAGGGTCCTCAGATCGAACACTTGGAGCTGCTGGAGAAACAGGTCGTCAAACTCATTGACGCTAAGAAAATGGTCGATGCAGCTAACGTAAGTTGCTTTCAAACGTTTTATTTAAATCGGAAAAGTTATTTTACAAGTGAGTAGTATTGCTTTACAAAGATAGCTATCTTACATTGGATGGGTTGGAAAAATTAATACAGCTAGCCACATATTGTATTTTGAATTTTAGCATTCACATCACATATTGTATTTTGAATTTTAGCATAACATCACGCCTTTTATCCCCGAAGGGGTAGGCAGAGGTGTACATTACAGTACTTAATGCCACTGTAGAAATGTAACACTCACTTTCCACTATTTATGTTATGAGTCCCATGTAATAGGAGGTGAGCCTATTGCCATTTACCGGGTACAATTCCAGACCCCGTGCTACTACTGAGATTTTTTGAAAAAACTCAGTAATGCTTTGCCCGACCCGGGAATTGAACCAGAGACCCTTTGCCAGGCAGTCGCACTTGCGGCCATTCGGCCAACGAGGCAGTCAGTTTTAGCATTCACATTAAAGTAAAACAAAAACCCGAAGAAGGAAGACTTTTTCAATAGTCTAATACTCATTCTTTCATCTTTTCTGAATATTACAAAAACTATTCTTTGAGTGGAGAATATTATAATAGTACCTACATCGGCAGAAAAAATCTGAACCACTAAAATCTTAAACTCAATATTTCAGAAATTCAACGAAACAATAGAATACATAAAGAAACAGAGTGGCATCAGTATTTATAACTTCCTGGAGGGAGCTTCTTCAGGGGCACCAGAGTTTGAGGAGTTCCTCAAGAGGAGTGACGTCAGAGATCTGATCCATGTGGGTAATGCCACCTTCACACTCAACAACCAACTGGTTTATGAGAAGATGTTACCAGACTTAGCAAACACTACCAAACCTTTCGTTGAGGAACTCTTGGAACATTACGGAGTTATGGCCTATAAGTAAGATTATGAAAAACTACTTACACCCGAATACTGAAAGACTACTCAATTTAAGTTGTACTTAAATATCATGCCATCTCTGTCGTTTTACAAAGAATTTGTAGAAACAACTATATTTAAGCGCAACTTAAAATTTCGTAACGCTTCAGTATTCGAGCATTAATCTTTTATTTGCTGATAAGTAACACTCATGCTGTTTCGACCCTTACAAATTCAGAATAACGAATACAAAAGATTTTGGTTTTCTGCTTCTATATGTATAATGTCTTGTCCTTGATACTTACCTCGTTTCTTTATGTTACAGCGGCCAACTAGACGTGATCCTAGGGTACAGTTTATCAAAACACATGTACGATACGCTGAAGTGGTCCCGACGTGAGTCCTACGTTCAGTCCCCCAGGCGACGCCTGCGCAAATACGCTAATGGATCCGTTGTCGGGTAAGTACTCAAATTTAAAACTAAATCCCTTATCTTAAACTTTTTGTTCCACTGTGGGTAGCTAAAGTTCCACCAGGCGAGATAATGGTCAAACGTCAATTGCATCTAATATAAAAAAATCCTATTTATGCTTTATTCAATAAAATAGTTAAAGATCCTAACGTGAAATAATAGAAGAGGCCCGAAATGGGTACAAAGGAAAACCCTTTTCGAATGATCGTCCTTTTGGAACATGATTCAGGTTATAACGAAATTACAGAACAGGCAGAGGGGCACATTATGCCACTGTACAACGTAACACCCACTTTTCACTATTTATGTTATGAGTCCCATGTAACAGGGATTGAGCCTTTTGCCATATACCGAGCACAATTCCAGACTCCTTACTACTATTGAGATTTTTTTATAAACCCACTATCTAGTATTATTTAGCCCGACCCAGGAATCGAACCCGAGACCTTTGCCCGGCAATCGCACTTGCGACCACTCGGCCAACGAGGCAGTCATCTCATCAGAAATCTTACCAGCAACATATAAGGAAATTTCACTTTCTCTTCTGAACTACTTTTTCCGATTCTGATTCTTTAGTCTCTTGAAGATCTAAATAAAACATTACCTTATTTCAGGTACAAAAAGGCTGGCGGCAACTTCGAGGAAGTATTAATTCGGGGAGCCGGACACATGGTGCCGGTCGACCAACCAGAAGTCGCCAAATTCATGATGGACAGTTTTATACAGACATACAAAAATTAGTTTATATATGTACAAAATATCTTTATTTTCTATCTCTATTATATAAAATAAACCATGTGATATTTACAACAGTTTGTTTTACAACTAAAAGGCACTGTGGATACAGCTAGTCCTTGTATTGGCTCAGATTTTCGACTAGTTATACCTATATTAACTATGTCCCACCAGTAGCAACGTTCTGGGTTGAGTATCTAATGTATACATTTTCTCGTCGTTTTCGATAAAAATACTTAAATAAACATCCGATAAACTGCAACAGAGCCACGTGTATGTACTAAAATACGTAAAAAATAACTTATAGGTCTTAACTTATCAACACTTGCATAGGACCTCGTGCAGTAACTGCTATAACATTATTACATCCTGTATTACAAATTTGTTGTTCATGTAAAATAAATACGAATACTTTGACATTTTAAAAAATCTCAGACTTGCGTTTTTTAATCCAAGATTTATATATTTAGTAAGTATTTTGTTTTTGTGTACTCTGTATTAGGTACTGTATAATAAAATAAAAAAAATATCTCATTATAATTCAGGAGATCCAATAAATGCTGAGATCTGACCATAAATAACTCAATTCCGTTCCCAAAACAAAATATGAACACAATTAAGGTTGCCTGAACCACTTAAGGTTGCATTTCCAAACAGCCTTCAGCACACGAGATGATAATGTCAAACTAAAGAACCGAGTATTCACGAACATTCAAAAACGACGCACAACCATTTGATTATTCCTGGTTTAAACTGTTCACAACCTGCTTAAAACATAGTAGAAGTAGTAATACTGGTCTCGTCAACCGTCTTGTAATTATACATGTCCGATCGTCTCTTCCATCTTAACCCATAAACTACTCCACAGACTATAGCTAGGATTAACAGGACATTAAGGACTAAACTGACTACCATCACAGCTTGAGTACCGGTCGGTGGGTCTCCAGGAATTTGTAGAATGGTCTTTGAAATGCCTTCAAGGTCATCGTCGATGTAAGCAGCCGTATCTTGAGGTACAACATGATAGTTTGGAGGTAGTGGCATGTCTAAACCTCTGATGAAGTAAGAGATCAGTTGTGCAGTTTCTGCTGGCTTGTCCATGGGGACTAAGTGACCAGCTCCACGCACTAATACTTCGGTGAGGCTGCCCCCGGTTTTGACGTAGCTGAAAATAGAAACAGAATGATAAATAGCTCTTAAAGTTTTTGTTACAATTGATACAACCCTGTTTATGATTTTAAGACCTGAAAACGTACTAAAAATACATAACTCACCCAGCAACTCTTTCATCGAACCACCAAGGAGTGCGCGACGCGTTGAGGAACTCATTGCGTTTGTTCCAGTGCCAGTGCTTCCTCCGTGCTTTTGCGTTGGGGACACAAGGAGCTGTCAAGTCCATTTGACCACTGGAATAGAAGCAAACAAATACCAGGTGAAACAATTTTTCATAACTAAATTTTTCATTGGGAAATAAAAAAGCAATCAAAATTTGGACAGTTACTTGAAATTAAAAGTAAATTGAAAGTAATAAAATGGAATCTGTAAGCAACATATGACAAAGAATAAGAAAATAGGACATGAGGAGATCTAAGAAAGACGTATTAATAATAATCAATGAAAATCGAGTCAATGTTCAGACCTGGACTACCGTCTCGACCAAACAAACATATATCTCAATTTCTGTAAGGCAATGCAGAAAGACAACTTACCAATAAATAAGTATCCTGTAATGATTAAGCAGCATCTCCACCTTCGACCTGACTTCACTTAAGAAGTCAGGAGTGAGCCTCTTGTGGGTGGTTCCATTGTGGAAGGCGAACCGTATGGTGCCGACGTGTATAGCCTCACTCACTTCAGGTTTCCGAATGAAGTCCACAAAGTCATCCAAATGGTTGATGCTGTCCAAGAGAATGTTGAAGGTTTGCTGCTGCATGGCTATGTCATCCAGCTTGTTCAGAAGTTCTTCGCGGAGCTGGAGATGAAATAAGATATTTATGTGGTAGGTACAAAGACTTTGTTAACCGTGGGGTGATCGCAAGGCTTATCTTATTATAGGCTAAAAGTATTGCAACAGTTCCCGATTTAGAAATGATTAATAGCAATAGGTTGTCTGGAATACGGCTAAGGTGACTATGTAGTAATATTTATTAACAGTATCTGGCAGCAGCTTCGTTGGTTGAATGGTCGCAAGTGGAACGGCTGAGCAAGGGGTCTCAGGTTCGATTTTCGGGTCAGGCAAAGTAATACTAGGTTTTTTAAAAAAAAGATCAATCGTAGCACGGAGTCTGGAATTGTGCCCGGTATATGGTAATAGGCTCACCCCCTATTACATAGGAATCATAACTATAGTGAAAAGTAATGTGCACCTCTGCCTACCCTTCGGGTATAAAAAGCGTGATGATGTTATATATCTGGTGGATACTTTAAGTACATTTCAGCTTAAATATCTTTAGAAAATACTAAGTAGCTACAGTACTACTTATACTTACATCAGTAGCCCTTTGAGCATCACCGCTGACTACAGCTTTATTGTATGCATCTTGCAGTGGCTTAACTGCCAATAATCCTTGGCTGTCTATCAAACCCCACTGGTAGAAGATAGAGCTATAGTCTGCTATGCTGTCGCGACTCAGCACTGGGTTACCCATTATAATACCCTGAAAATCAGAAAAAAGTTAAGGTCAAACTAAAGATCAGGTATTGTGTCCAATTTGATGTTTTGCTGTTTTCAAGATTTGTTCTAGGTGTCGTTTGTAAGTACCAAAATAAGGAGTTCTCAAAACGTTTCAGTAGTGATTGTGAGTGATGCAATATTAATTTAGGTAGTGGGTACACCAAACACAGCATGCTTTAATCTCTCATGCAGCAAGATGGCGTAAGATTTTTTAGCATTTTTTAAATCGTTCAATAAACGGCCTTATTTGAGTCTCCTGTGAGATACAGTGTATATTTAGTAGGTATGCAACTAACCTAATACTGACGTCACAAATTGCTACAGTTCCGTTTACAAGCACAAGGTGACCATGTCATGGGCAGAATTCATATTAAAATAATATTAACCGTACCGAAATAACCATAGTACTTATTATTAAACTGATGAAGGCAATCAACACATTTCAACAGAAAATTTTATTCGAATGACGAATATTGAAACCAGTTTTTACACATTAATATTAACTATTTTATAAATAAACTTATATCCGGAGTTCCGCTATGTTAACTGATAAAAATACTACATTAATTGCGAACTTATTTCGATATAGTTAAAGTTGTTTTCTCATTAGCTACAATAATGTTTTATGGACATGTGTGACGAAGGTTCTATCGGTTTGTTATGAAAAGAGCGTTTCCTGGTCGCGGAATAGCCCTTATTAGTACTTCCGAATAAATTGTATAATAAAATAATATATCATATAAAAATTCTTCCTGTATTAATTGTCTACTGACTTCCTATATTGTGGTCTACAATATTAACGTTGTTTTTTATTTTTTCCGGAAGAAGATCCCTTCCTTATTAGACCACTTCGTAGTCGTACTTATCCTTATTTTGTATTTGCCTGCCGAAAAAAAAATTAAATAAGTAATAGACATTTTGAATTGACCTGGTTTACATTAAATCGTAAGAATATTGTTCCTAAAGACGAATCAGAAAAGGAAGAGATTGATATGACTGCTACATAAACATAAAACATACAAGTTGACCATACAACGCCCTTTTTTTAATCTAAAACAAATTAATGTGTGAATGAAATTATCTCTTTGGTCGTTTGCGTGGCAGCTTTTGGAGAACTTCTAATCAGCCACTCCAATCGGGTAATAAATGGCCTTGAAAGTGTCATAATTCATAACATCGAACTAAGTGTGCTTAATAACCGCAAAACCGCACATTACTTAACATGTGTACTTCTAATAGTACTTATCGTATGATATCTGCTTTCTAAACATTAAGGCTGCCGGAAAAATAGCTTCAGGGAAAAACCGCAAGACCACACATTTATTTTTTGTATAATTAGAGACATACATTAGCTTCTCATTAGAAGATTCATTAAATCATGGTCGACATGAAATATACATATAAATTAATATAAAACGTTATACATAAATTAAGTTATCTAATTGCAAACTACTCAAATAGTTCTTTGATGTAAAAAAAGAATTTTACTGAAATCATAGAGATTTTCTATATAGTTTTCAAACCGGCTCGTATTCGCTAGTTGATTCTACAGTTTGCATGCCCACGATAGCGGGAAAAAGTTGCAAAGCGAACGACTACGAACTACGCATCACGTACTATGCCTTACGAACGACGCGCTAGGAACAACTGACTACAAACTACGCGCTAGGAACAACTGACTAAAAACTACGCGCTACGAACTACAGGTTACAAATGACGCACTATGAGCTACGCACTACGAGCTACGCACTACGAGCTATGCACTACGAGTTACGCACTACGAGCTACGCACTACGAGCTACGCACTAAGAGCTACGCGCTACTAGCTACGGCTCTATTAAGCTACAACTTAAGTCTAAGATTAGAAATTAAGGGCTGGGCATGTAGGGTAAGAAACTTGGCTCTACATGACATCTGATTACTTTTTGACAGCGCGAGCTATATGATCTCTTTTTAGCAACATTTTACGTAAAATCACGCATCACGGAATACTCTTAATTACCTTTGTGAGGTATTTTGATTTATTTAGTTGGGAAAGTACGACAAAAGACACCTGTGATGCAGTTCAGTCATCGGTGGAACGTGGATAACCTTTTCACAATATTGAATAAATTGACATAGTCAGTACATATATACAATCAATAATGATTTGATAGACATGAGCGTCATCGATATAGTTGGTAACATTAGCTCGTCCATTTATCACTTTGTGACATTTATTTGCATCAATTGGCTTATTAATAAGTGGAATTGTCTTGTCAGTACGTATCTGATTTCGGGGATCTTTGTGCAAAAATTATAAAGTTAAGCTATCTAGTTATCTACCCGTTTATTTATTGTTAATGTAGTTTACATAATTACGTAAATAAGTGCTTACACTTATTTATCGTGTATTTAATTATTTTAATAGTACGGTACATAACCAATTACACTGGTCAATGCTTATAATTTACAAAACTAAGAGAAGTGCATGACATTCCATATATTTTTAATCATTTGTGACAACGACCTCAACACATTTCGCTTCGCCATATCAGAGGTCGAGAGTCCTTAACCGGTCTAGATATAATCATCGTATTGCACCGTATACATTTGTGGTACATGCAAAGTTCTTATTTTAAGTACTTACGTATAGTCTTATGCGGAATACGAATGAAGTTATAATCGTACTTGACCGATTTTTATAGGAGTGAGGTGTCAAAGTATTTAACCTTCATTTCATGGGGAATTTTGAAGCGTATGAGTGATTCAACAGTGTCACTGTGACATTTAATATCGAGTGTTATTATTTATTGTTGATCGCGTGGCGTAGGTGTTTTGCGATACGTAAATGAATAATTTTACCACAGTCATTGCTATTTAGTAAATTTTTATTTAACTAATCGAGCTATGGTGCCACTGCCAACCAGGTAGAAAGTATCTATTTATTTGTTGCAACATCTGTTTTTGCACCTTGCTATTTAAATGTGTGTGAATCATTAGACAAAAACGTGGCTGAAATAGATACACTTAGGTAAACAACTATCTTTATCTGGATAGGTATCTGTAATAGGTATCTACATATTATAACTGTTTCGTATTTATATTCTTAAACATTCTTCTTTTCACCCTGGATTCTTATAGGTAAAAGTGAGACTAGAGCAGGTATCGACCGAACGGCTAACTGTTGTCTTTTAGTAAAAACGGCACGGAACCTCGGTTTATGTCCGGTGTACGACCAATATATTCGCCTCTATTATTTGGAGATTTTATAGATAACTTATGATAATAGGTCTGTTTAGTGATGGTATTACGCCTTTGCCGCCAATATAGATACAATATATCACGTAAATTATGTAATAGTGAAATCGAAACGGTAACGTTATTCTCAAAAAAGAAAAGTTATTCTCATACCTGTAGATTAACGTCCAGGAGTCCAATGTTGCGGTCTTGTTCAAGTATCTTTACGCCGAGAGCAGGGAGGTAGCGGCCAGCGTACGATTCCCCAGCGATGTAGAGCGGAGCCTTGGCGACCTCGGGAAACACATGCCGGAACTGTCTCAACGCGTTGTATAAATGGCTTGAACACTGAAACATTAATTAATTACTGTATTACTTAACAAATCTTGCTGTTTCCTCATATCCTACATTTCATCATTTCATGTGATCGTCTACTATACTGCTAGTAAAACTGATACCTAGAAGACTATGAAATACCTAGTAATATATTTAATTACAAGACTATATTACTCAGCGTTTTTTATCTTGAAATAAACGTATCTTTTAGTAATGAGATAATATTATTATTCATAATAGAGTCAAGTCTTGTCTTTGAAATGTGCAGGTTTTTAATACAGGCATTTTGATATAATTAGCGAAGTAGATCTCAAATGCAAACAACGTGGGACAGCGGGAAAAACAAGTACCTATTATGTTTTGTGTAATTGTAATCTAAGTGTAAATGATCACAGTCTATTCACAAATGCCCTTGGGAATACTATATGCCTGCATATAATAGATAGATATCAAATTATACCTATGTTCTTTGTTATCCCAGTGTTAAAGCTGAATCATGTCACTGTTCAAACAAATCCCAAGGTCATTGAATTGCAATTTATCCTGCGTGCTTGTTATTCATGCTTTCAAAAATGGGTTTTTCTCGAATACCTTGGGGTACTTATCGTTGTTTAAAAAACAGAAAATTGTGTTAGTATTATACCTGTCATGAATTCGTGATATAACTGCAGGAAAAATAGTTATTTATGAACAAAATTGTAAGATTCTTGATACTGATTAATGTTAATTATCGTATACCTATTTGTATGTATAAAATATTTTTTTATTTACTCATAATTATTGTAAACAATTCCCAGCATTTGATTACATTATGTAAGTAGCTCCTTGTATTTATTTATATAAGTAGGTATGCTGTCTGATAAACTAAGCCAAAAAAATATTCTACTAACCTAAAAGTTAAGAAACTTTGTTCATTGGTTTGCAAACACAATGAATAATACAATCAATCTTACAATAGTCTGACTATCCGAGATAGTGCCTATTCTCAAAATGACGTCTATAAACGTGTGAATTGACCTACGTGTTAAATTAATTTAACTAGACATTATAAAGTCGCTAATGTGTAAAAACTCAGGTTCAGAAATTATTTTTGTTCTTTAAAGTAATAAGCTAATATTATGTCCGAATAGATGAAATTTTGTTCTCAGCTTTATTAATTTGGAACCTACTAAAAATATTTTTATGGAATTGTAACATATAACCACTTTCAGATCAAAATAGAATAGGGTACTCTGGATCTCTGTAAGTACACCACAGCCAGCCCTAAAGTACACCTACTAAGTGTAACTGTTTTTTTACAAAATATAGGTACAAACAGTTTCCTTATAAGCCAAGTCAACAAACTTAAATAACATGGTAGGTAAGTCTTTTATAGACGGCACTTACGGTGAACAGCTACGCAAAGGCACACCCAAACACCTAATTGATAATAGAATACGTCCTTCAATGTGACCACAAACTCAAGCATTAATAGCAAAAATAAATATTAATAACTTGAGCCTAATCACTTCACTCATAAATATAATAGACCTTACTCAATGTTTGAGGAGCCATTTATTTGTTTTTGTGGTTAAATAACAGAAGCTCTTTTTTAAACGACGAAAAAGAGGTTCTTCTTTATAATTATGTCTAGTGGTATTAAGTATGTACTAATACTTAATGTTCCTGTAGAATATATAGAAGAACTGTAGGACGTTACTAGTAAAGGAAAATAAAAAAGAAAAGCTTGTGTAGCAGATGTTTTATAGGGAAATCGAGAGACATTAGTTAATCGACACACTGTAATGGTGGTCTGTCTAACATGGAGAAGAGTAATCTCATGATCGAATAATGTTGGTAAAGATATATCTAGTTGTCTCTGTCAGATCTGTCAGGGTCTAATTATAAGTTATCGTTTTACTTAAATGCAAATGAATGAAAAAATTTCAAAACTGTAGGAGTGGTTCCCCGGACCATAGCTTTTCATCTAGATTTTTTAACATCAAATCGTGCTCACGTACTTATATCATTCAATAAACAATTCTAAAGTATGTACCCGACTGTCAACGACACGATACAATCGGGACACGCTTCAATGATTTCTTAATAAAAACGTGAAGGAACCAGACAAGTCTCACTTCAATGAAATAGAAGACTTCTGTCAATATGTTTGTTTAACTTCCTATAATCTACAAACATGCATATGCAACATAATTACTTACACTTGGTTTTCACGGTCAACTTATTGACATTTTACAATAGCATTTACGATTATGTACACTCGGTAGGTATAGTCAATTAGTTCATAACATAGGTATATTATGATAGAAATAACCTCACACACAATACGTACATTTTTACCTGAGTTACCTACCTTAATTATTTATTCCTAATAAAAATTACAATGAGTTAGTTGACAAAGGATAAGTTTTTTTTATATGCAGTATGCCGTAAATGGATTAAATCTGTCGAGTTTACTTAGCATATATGTACTAGGTGTTGTGTAATATCCTTACCGTCTCCATATCTTGTACGAACCCGTCAGGATGGTCTGTGAAACTAAAACCAGCTCCTATAGGGTTGTCGATGAAGAGTAAAGAGTAATCTCTCCCCCACGTCGATTTGCGTACTGAAATAAGAATTCACAGAATTGTAATTATTTATTTTTACGAATAGTAAAGGCATACCTACCTACTTGTAGTTAACATTTAATAAGAAACGTGAAGTATTAAGTTTTGTTTTTATGAATCTCTTTGCTTTCTATGTATATGACGATTCCACAAAAAGTGTATTCGTGCAAAATCATACTAAGACGAGATATAGCTTGCACTGACTAAAGTAATCAGATCTCCTAAATAGCCAAGTTTGTAACTCTGTATGACCAGATATATTAGTGCTAATGTTGCACTTGAATTGCGGTGAAAGGCTGTAGTGTAGTTTACAACCATACCGCGTAGCTCGTAAGTAATTCGTAGTGCGTAGTACGTAGCACGTATCGTGTAGCTAGTGGTACTAAGTTCGTAGCACGTAGCTCGTAACGCGTAGTTCGTAATGCGTAATCGTTTTCACACTTTTAGTCTCGCAAACCGTGGACTCAAATGGTGAATCGGACGTAATCACTTTAACAGTAAAAAAGAAATACTATGACCTGTGGCTATGACAGATTCTAACTCAGCTAGAGATAAACATTTTTTCAACAATTACCTACCCACATACCTGAAACGTAATTGAAATTTTATTATTATGTCATGTAGGCACTACAAACAATCCTCTAGTTACCTCATTACATGCTTTTAAAAAAGTTAAGTAGGATATCAAAGTAGTGTCTAAGCAAGGTTTTTCTTGTTTACATTTCTAAGTTTGTGATGCGTTATTCAAATGAATGTAGATACGCATAATTAAAGAATATATTGTTTACCAACTCGACTAAGTGGAGACCATCGAAGATTCAATGAAGAGTAAGTTCGTAAGAATTATGTGTAAGTGGGCACGTGTGTACATTTCCTTATGATATTTGACTATGAATTGTTTATTTTGTCTGGATGGCAATGGTATCACCGTATCAAGAAAACTATTTTCAATAACTTTGAATAAGACGTGTCCAAAAAGTCTATCTTCATACCTTCAATGTTAATAAAGACACAATTTGTTGAGCTACAATGAAATAACAACATACATATATGTGTTTGTATACCTAACCTAGTATTTAATTATCCATAATTATCAATTTCTACACAAAAAGCAACAAGGAAGGATCATCCAGTCGTCTAATCTGCGGTATTTACATAAATCTTGTATTATGAAATCCGGTTCACTAGCAGTATCTTATACTTTACTTCGTTTGGCCCTCTCAAACCGGTACCAAGTCCGAAAAATCACCTTGACTTGATGCCATACGATACAACGTCACGAAGTGATAAGTTGACCAGCGAAAATGGCCGCGAAAGTAAACTACGATTAATTACAAGAGTATTTATTGTGCAAGCCGTTATGTTATGAGTCATTCGTATTTTTATACCTTCACCGACCTTTCGATAGTAATTTTATGACTTACCCCTTATTATGTATGCAATTATGGTTGAAACTACAACCATAATTATACTGAGCACTTATTCAGACAGATTAATCATAACAACAAAATCGAAATAACAAATAACATATAATTTAATATGGTTGAAAAGTGGGGCTTGCAACAAAGTCCAGGAAAAGCTAATTTTGTGCCAGAATCTAAACATACTTAGGTAACTAGATCACAATAACATTGATGTGGTTCAACGTGTCGTGATTTAGATTCCCGTACAGAAAAAGAAATTGTTTGAATAACCTGGCTGCTTGTCTTTGTGTTCGTTTTTTAGAAATTTTCCTTACCATTATCCCGACCGAGGAATAGGGTTACCTATAGCAAAAAATCACAATAAATAGATTTGCTTAAGTTGTAAATATACTGTATATTATTATGTAAATACGTGAAGCAAAATAATATTTAAGCCACTACTAACTAACAAACTAAAAAAAATAAAATAAAAAAGCCACTACTAAGCCGGGCTGCGATTTTAAAATTACCTATTTCTATAAAATTCAGGTCTTTAGGTGCAATTTAAAATTATATAAGAATTATACAACGCTCACGCATGTTGATCGTGAATAAGCGTGAGATGACCAATGCAGAGAGTAGCCCAACCCGTTCTTATTTAATAACAGGCCAACATTTTTACGAACAGGGATTCCCCACTCACAATTCGCGTAAACTCATTATATGAACTTGACATTAAAAAACAGTGAAATATTATCCACACTATAATCTCACTCAGTCACTGAATGTTATTGTGGCTATTAAATAATCCTGAGTAAGGAATTTCCACTATCAGTATTTAGGTATTTAATAACAACTTTACCTAGGTATGAACTAACATATTGGACCTCATGTACCTGATTACCTGAAGTAGGTACGTGACTTCATGGTCTATCTATGTACCTCAGTAATGTGTTGTCCTTTATATTATTGTTGTATGGTATGTTGTATGTATATGTCCTTTATATTGTATGGACTGCCTCATTGGCCGAGTGGTCGCAAGTGCGACTGACGGGTAAGGGGCCTCGGGTTCGATTCCCGGGTCGGGCAAAGTATTACTGGGTTTGTAAAAACCTCAATAGTAGAACGGAATCTGCAATTGTTGCCGGTATATGGCAATAGGCTCACCCCCTATTACATGGGACTCATAAGTCATAACATAAATAGTGAAAAATGGGTGTTACATTATACAGTGGCGTTAAGTGCCGTAATGTGCACCTCTGCCTACGCCTTCGGGGATAAAAGGCATGTTGTTATGTTATGTTATGTTATGGTATGTGCATAAAATTATCAATAAATAAATAACATAAATAAATTGGTAATTACGTATTACATTTACTAAAACTAATCAAAAATACTTAATTCCTGCTTCTTTCTAAAAACATTGGCAGAAATATGTTAACTATAGACCTTCCGCTATTTACCAACAAAATTCTTTATGACACCCAAATCCTACAATGAATCTACGAAGTATATAAAACCGCAACAAGTCCATAAAATAAAGGATATGGCGTCATTCCATTTAAGATAACATCTGACAGAATTAGGTCACCCACAAGTTTTGTGAAAAATTTAGTAAAAGTTCAAAGTTTCGTTCTAAGAAAGGGTTATTACTATGTTGAAGGTTTACATAATATAAACTGACTCAGACAGTGAAAGAAGGAGTGTAGACACAGCATAGGTGTGAGAAACATATTAAACAATTACTCATAGGTATCTACAAACATATGACAGTTCTGCCTAATGAGATGCCACGTCTCTTACCGACATTCTTGATTACCGTTTTCAACTTTGAAATCTTTGAAGAGATCTGATTAGAGATCAAATTCCTTCGTAAGAAAGCACCTATATATTATTTCAGAAACTCTGAACTTAGGACATCTTTGTGGAATTATATAGTACTAGATTCTGTCCGCGACTTCGTACGCGCAATCCCGTTTTCCCATTCCCGTAGGATTTTCAGGACTTTTTTTCTGTCATAAGAAACTTCTACTGACGATAACAAACACAACAACAAAAAAAAAATCAGCCAAATCGTCAATCAGTCTAGCCGTTCTCAAGTTATGGCGTGACAACGGGAAACGGATTTCATTTTTTTATATATATGGATATCTGTAACTATGTATCTCAAAGCGTATAAAATATGTAAGAAACTTAAAAATATCCTATTTATTGCGAATTGTTAGATTTATCACATGTTTCAGTATGCAGGCGCAGCGCATCAATTCGCAGTGGGTCCACCTTCCCAGGCCAGTTAGAGCTAGGGTTGCTACCCGTACTTTATAATAAAGTATTGTACGTTATTTAAGGTAATTGTACTATATACTTTATAAGAATAATAAAGTACACAAAAATACTTTATTTTTGCAAAATTCGATATCGATATTTATCGACTTATGTTGAATTGATTTCGCCACTCGCCAGCGCCACTTAGACAATTTCTAGTAAAGATGCAATTGTTTAGTAAAGATACTAATTTTATACAAACTGCAAAAAGCAATAAAAAGTATATTTTTAAATATAATACTAAATAAGAATAAATTGTACTTTATTTTTGTACCGTGTACTTTTTTTTCTCACCTATAATCGTCAAAGTACTTTAAATACCAAAGTAAAAGGTGGCAACCCTAGTTAGAGCGGCCGGCAATTGTGTTATTGTTATAGGAAATTGCAGTTATCATCCCGCCAGACGATTTGCAATTTTGCACCCAATGGTTTTTAGTCTGCAGACTTGACTATGGCAATTTGTGGGCATCTGGGCATAGTACAGATTCTTAACTAAATACATAAAAAGATAGTGGCTTAATAGGTACCAATACTAGACTTAAATAAGATGACTTCATCAGTAGATAATATGAAAAAATAAGGTCATGCCCCTATACAAATGCATGTCCATAACTTTATCAACTTGAATACACTATAACAAAGTCGAAAAAGTCACTAAAGTCACAAACTAGAGGTGAATTCAATTCTATCTCGTGGCTTAACCTCAAAATTAGTACGTTCAACCAACCAAACAAAAAACCGTTCACGTTTGGAACTGATTGGTACCTATCAATTTATACATAGTAGGGTAAGTACCTATCAAGTAACATTATACTTATCTATTAAACTGTAAATATTAAAAAAAACATTGCCCCATTTGTAGATCGTCCAATTTTGAGACGTTCAACGTTTAGGTAGCGATGAAGATGTAGGTACCTTTTTTCTTAGTCCATAAAAATATGTGCCTACATCAAAAAGTGGTGTTACCCGGGTTTTAAGTTTTTTTATGGGATAAGCCGGTAAACGAACACACGGATCACCTGATGGTAAGCAATCAGCGTCGCCCATGGACACCTGGAACACCAGAGGCGTTACAAGTGTGTTACGGCCTTTTGGGGATTAAGAGTTTGGGGATTGTTGGAAATTCAGG